TGACGGTGGCAGTATGGTGTATCACTACAGTTGTAATGGTGACAGTAAGGAATATCACTACAGTAGTGATGGTGACAGTATGGTGTATCACTACAGTAGTGATGGTGACAGTATGGTGTATCACTACGGTAGTGATGGTGACAGTATGGTGTATCAATACAGTAGTGATGGTCACAGTATGGTGTATCACTACAGTGGTGATGACAGTATTGTATATCACTGGAGTGGTGATGGTGACAGTATGGTGTATCGCTACAGTGGTGGTGATGATGACAGTATGGTATATCACTGGAGTGGTGATGGTGACAGTATGGTGTATCACTACAGTGGTGATGATGACAGTATGGTATATCACTGGAGTGGTGATGGTGACAGTATGGTGAATCACTACAGTGGTGATGACAGTATGGATTATAACTGGAGTGGGGATGGTGACAGTATGGTGTATCACTACAGTAGTGATGGTGACAGTATGGTGTATCACAGCAGTAGTGATGGTAACAGTAAGGTGTATCACTTCACTAGTGATGGTGACAGTAAGGTGTATCACTACAGTAGTGATGGTGACAGTATGGTGTATCACAGCAGTAGTGATGGTGACAGTATGGTGTATCACTACAGTAGTAATGACAGTATGGTGTATCACTGCAGTAGTGATGGTGACAGTATGGTGAATAACAACATTAGTGATGGTGACAGTAAGATGTATCACTTCAGTAGTGATGGTGACAGTATGGTGTATCACTACAGAAGTGATGGTGACAGTATGGAGTATTGCTACAGTAGTGATGGTGACAGCAATTTGTATCACTATGGTAGTGATGATGACAGTATGGTGTATCACTACAGTAGTGATGGTGACAGTATGGTGTATCACTAAAGTAGTGATGCTGGCAGTATGGTGTATCGCATCAGTAATGATGGTGGCAGTATAGTGTATCATTACAGTAGTGATGGTGGCAGCAAGGTGTATCACTACAGAGGTGATGGTGACAGTATGGAGTATCACTGCAGTAGTGGTGACAACTGTCACTACAGTAGTGATGGTGACAGTATGGTGCATCACAACAGTAGTGATGGTGACAGTATGGTGTATCACTACGGTAGTGATGGTGACAGTATGGTGTATCACTACAGTAGTGATGGTCACAGTATTGTGTATCACTACAGTGGTTATGATGACAGTATTGTATATCACTGGAGTGGTGATGGTGACAGTATGGTGTATCGCTACAGTGGTGGTGATGATGACAGTATGGTATATCACTGGAGTGGTGATGGTGACAGTATGGTGTATCACTACAGTGGTGATGATGACAGTATGGTATATCACTGGAGTAGTGATGGTGACAGTATGGTGTATCACTACAGTTGTGATGGTGACAGTAAGGTATATCACTACAATAGTGATGGTGACAGTATGGTGTATCACTACGGTAGTGATGGTGACAGTATGGTGTATCACTACAGTAGTGATGGTCACAGTATTGTGTATCACTACAGTGGTTATGATGACAGTATTGTATATCACTGGAGTGGTGATGGTGACAGTATTGTGTATCACTACAGTGGTGATGATGACAGTATGGTATATCACTGGAGTGGTGATGGTGACAATATGGTGTATCACTACAGTGGTGATGATGACAGTATGGTATATCACTGGAGTGGTGATGGTGACAGTATGGTGTATCACTACAGTGGTGATGATGACAGTATGGTATATCACTGGAGTGGTGATGGTGACAATATGGTGTATCACTACAGTGGTGAAGACAGTATGGTATATCACTGGAGTGGTGATGGTGACAGTATGGTGTATCACTACAGTAGTGTTGGTGACGGTATGGTGTACCACTACCGTAGTGATGGTGACAGTATGGTGTATCACTACAGTAGTGATGGTGACAGTATGGTGTATCACAGCAGTAGTGATGGTATCAGTAAGGTGTATCACTTCACTAGTGATGGTGACAGTATGGTGTATCACTACAGTAGTAATGATGACAGTATGGCGTATCACTGCAGTAGTGATGGTGACACTATTGTGAATAACAACAATAGTGATGGTGACAGTAAGGTGTATCACTACAGTAGTGATGGTGGCAGTGTGGTGTATCACTACAGAAGTGATGGTGACAGTATGGAGTATTGCTACAGTAGTGATGGTGACAGCAATTTGTATCACTATGGTAGTGATGGTGACAGCAATTTGTATCACTATGGTAGTGATGACAGTATGGTGTATCACTACAGTAGTGATGGTGACAGTATGGTGTATCACTAAAGTAGTGATGCTGGCAGTATGGTGTATCATTACAGTAGTGATGGTGGCAGCAAGGTGTATCACTACAGAGGTGATGGTGACAGTATGGAGTATCACTGCAGTAGTGGTGACAACTGTCACTACGGTAGTGATGGTGACAGTATGGTGCATCACAACAGTAGTGATGGTGACAGTATGGTGTATCACTACAGTAGTGATGGTGACAGCATATTGTATCACTACAGTAGTGATGGTAACAGTATGTTGTATCACTACAGTGGTGATGGTGACAGTATGGTACATCACCGGAGTGTTGATGGTGACAGTATGGTGTATCACTACAGTGGTGATTATGACAGTATGGTATATCACTGGAGTGGTGATGGTGACAGTATGGTGTATCACTACAATAGTGATGGTGACGGTGTGTGTCCCATTTGAGAAAGTGATGGTGACGTATGGTGTATCACTACAGTGATGATGGTGACAGTATGGTATATCACTACAGTAGTGATGGTGACAGTATGGTGTATCACTACAGTGATGATGGTGACAGTATGGTACATCACCGGAGTGTTGATGGTGACAGTATGGTGTATCACTACAGTGGTGATTATGACAGTATGGTATATCACTGGAGTGGTGATGGTGACAGTATGGTGTATCACTACAATAGTGATGGTGACGGTGTGGTGTACCACTAGAGTAGTGATGGTGACAGTATGGTGTATCACTACAGTGATGATGGTGACAGTATGGTACATCACCGGAGTGTTGATGGTGACAGTATGGTGTATCACTACAGTGGTGATTATGACAGTATGGTATATCACTGGAGTGGTGATGGTGACAGTATGGTGTATCACTACAATAGTGATGGTGACGGTGTGGTGTACCACTAGAGTAGTGATGGTGACAGTATGGTGTATCACTACAGTGATGATGGTGACAGTATGGTACATCCCCGGGAGTGTTGATGGTGACAGTATGGTGTATCACTACAGTGGTGATTATGACAGTATGGTATATCACTGGAGTGGTGATGGTGACAGTATGGTGTATGACTACAATAGTGATGGTGACGGTGTGGTGTACCACTAGAGTAGTGATGGTGACAGTATGGTGTATCACTACAGGGATGTTTGGTGACAGTATGGTTATCATTTACATTTGTGATGGGGGACAGTATGGTGTATCACTACAGTAGTGATGATGACAGTATGGTATATCACTGGAGTGGTGATGGTGACAGTATGGTGTATCACTACAGTGGTGATGATGACAGTATGGTATATCGCTGGAGTGGTGATAGTGACAGTATGGTGTATCACTACAGTGGTGATGATGACAGTATGGTATATCACTGGAGTAGTGATGGTGACAGTATGGTGTATCACTACAGTTGTGATGGTGACAGTAAGGTATATCACTACAATAGTGATGGTGACAGTGTGGTGTATCACTACGGTAGTGATGGTGACAGTATGGTGTATCACTACAGTAGTTATGATGACAGTATTGTATATCACTGGAGTGGTGATGGTGACAGCATTGTGTATCGCTACAGTGCTGGTGATGATGACAGTATGGTATATCACTGGAGTGGTGATGGTGACAATATGGTGTATCACTACAGTGGTGAAGACAGGATGGTATATCACTGTAGTGGTGATGGTGACAGTATGGTGTATCACTACAGTAGTGTTGGTGACGGTATGGTGTACCACTACCGTAGTGATGGTGACAGTATGGTGTATCACTACAGTAGTGATGGTGACAGTATGGTGTATCACAGCAGTAGTGATGGTATCAGTAAGGTGTATCACTTCACTAGTGATGGTGACAGTATGGTGTATCACTACAGTAGTAATTATGACAGTATGGCGTATCACTGCAGTAGTGATGGTGACAGTATTGTGATTAACAACAATAGTGATGGTGACAGTAAGGTGCATCACTTCAGTAGTGATGGTGACAGTATGGTGTATCACTACAAATGTAATGGTGACAGTATGGAGTATTGCTACAGTAGTGATGGCGACAGCATATTGTATCACTACTGTAGTGATGGTGACAGTGTGGTGTATCACTACAGTAGTGTTGGTGACAGTATGGTGTATCACTGCAGTAGTGATGGTGACAGTATGGAGTATCACTGCAGTAGTGGTGACAACTGTCACTACAGTAGTGATGGTGACAGTATGGTGCATCACAATAGTAGTGATGGTGACAGTATGGTGTATCACTACAGTAGTGATGGTGACAGCATATTGTATCACTACAGTAGTGATGGTAGCAGTATGTTGTATCACTACAGTCATGATGTTGACGGTATGGTGTTTCACTACAGTGGTGATGGTGACAGTATGGAGTATCACTGCAGTAGTTGTGACAGCATGGTGTATCAATACAGAAGTGATGGTGACAGTACAGTGTATCACTACAGTAGTGGTGACAGCATGGTGTATCAGTACAGAAGTGATGGTGACAGTATGGTGTATCACTACAGTAGTGATGGTGACAGTATGGAGTATCACTGCAGTAGTTGTGACAGCATTTTGTATCAATACAGAAGTGATGGTGACAGTACAGTGTATCACTACAGTAGTGGTGACAGCATGGTGTATCACTACAGTAGTGATGGTGACAGTATGGTGTATCACTACAGTAATGATGGTTAAACTATTGTGTATCACTACAGTAGTGATGTTGACAGTATGATATTTCGATACAGGTGTGAAAGTCTCAGCAGCAGCAGTGTCAGTAGCAGCAGTGACGTCACTACCCAGCACCAAGAAAGTGATGTTGGCGCTGACTGATGTTAGTGATGATATAGTGAGTCATGCCTGTGACCTGGCCCAGGAGCTACAACCTCCAGGAGGGTGAGTCCATCACTGTTGTTCTTTTGTTGTGAGTGTGGTGGTCCAGGATTTGGAGAAATTTTCTCCAGGAGGGGAGTATCAGCCCTCTTCGTCCCCTTTCAACCTCTTTCCGCCCGTTTCAGCCCCTTTCAGCACTGAGGGGCCCAACCCTTTCAAAAGAGGCAAACATCTTGTTTACTGCTACAGCAAGTAATTGATCCCAGATGCAATATGGGTATAAGAACATAAGAACATAAGAACGAAGGAACACTGCAGAAGGCCTACTGGCCCATGCGAGGCAGGTCCAAGTCTCCTACCGGCTTAAGCCAATGCACCCAACCTAGTCAGGTCAGGTCACATTGACTTAAGGGAGGAACACGGCAACCGACCTGTTAGCACAAGCTATCAGGTCTAACTCACACCCACCCACATCTACTCATGTATTTATCCAACCTATTTTTAAAGCTACACAACGTTCTGGCCTCTATAAGGGGTATTTGGGGAGTTTGTTCCACTCATCCACAACTCTATTACCAAACCAGTACTTTCCTATATCCTTCCTGAATCTGAATTTTTCCAACTTAAAACCATTGCTGCGAGTCCTGTCTAGGCTAGATATTTTCAGCACACTATTTACATCCCCTTTATTTATTCCTGTCTTCCATTTATACCCTCAATCATATCCCCCTAATTCTACGTCTTTTAGAGAAGTGCAGTTTCAGGGCCCTTAGTCTATCCTCATAGGGAAGGTTTCTAATACATGGGATCATCTTTGTACATTTTCCAGAGAATTTATATCCATTCTGTAATACGGTGACCAAAACTGTGCAGCATAATCTAATGAGGCCTAACCCAAAGGATGTATAGAGTTGAAGAAAAACCCTGAGGACTCCTATTATTTTGCTTCTTGATATGAAGCCAGGATTCTATTAGCTTTTTTTGCGAACACTTATGCACTGTTGTCTTGGTTTCAGATTATGTAACCAGAACTCCTAATCTTTTTCGCAATCCGTAATATTAGATCTACATTATTTAGTTATATGTGGGATGGTTATTGTCCTGTCCAACATTTAGAACTTTGCATTTGTCTATATTAAACTGCATCTGCCACTTCTCCGACCACTGATCAGTCTATTCAAATCTTCCCGGAGTGCTCGAATGTCCTCGTCAGAATGAATTCGACGGCCTATTTTGGTGTCATCGGCAAAACTTGCCGATGTCGTCTTTATGCCCTCATCTATGTCGTTTATGTAGATGTGAACAGCAGGGGACCCAACATGACCCGTGTGGAACACCGCTCGTGACGCTTCCCCACTCTGATTTTCCCCCTTTATGCCAAACTCTCTGCTGCCTATTTGTCAACCATGCCTCTATCCAGGAAAAAATTTCTCCTCCCATTCCATGTGCTTTAATTTTCCTCAATAGTCTCTGATGTGGGACCTGTCAAAAGCCTTACTGAAGTCCATATACACAATATCATATTCATTACCATGATCTACCTCCCCAAATACCTTAGTGAAAAAGTTAATAAATTCGTAAGGCAGGAACGCCCCTTTGTAAAACCATTTCTGGATTCGTTGATTAATTTATGCTTTTCAAAATGGTACGAACTGCCTCGGCAATTATTGATTTCCATAAATTTTCCCACTATGGAGGTTAGGCTTATTGGTCTATAGTTCGAAGCTAAGGACCCGTCACCTGTTTTGAAAATAGGTATCACATTTGCCATTTTCCACTTATCTGGCACCAAAGCCGTTTGTAGTGATATGTTGAAAAGATTAGCCAAAGGTGTGCTAAGCTCCTCTTTACATTCCCTTTTGAACCCTTGCATACCCGTTCATCAGGGCCCCCGGGGATTTGTTAGGTTTTAATTTATCTATTTGCCTAAGGACCATGTCACTTGTGACCCTAATAGTGCACAGTTTATTATCGTCCTGTTCTACATAATTTATCATTACTGGAATATCGCTGGTATCCTCCTGTGTAAAAACTGAGAGGAAGTATGTGTTAAAAATTCTACACATTTCCTTATCACTGTCAGTGAGTTGACCCGAGGAACTTTTGGTGGGCCTATCTTGTCCCCGATCTTACTTCTGTATACCTGAAAGATCCTTTTGGGTTAGTCTTCGATTCTTTTGCAACTTTAACCTCATAAATTTTTTTTGCTTTTCTAATTCCCCTTTTTTATTTCTCTCTTTAACTGAATATATCGATTTTTTAATTGCCCCTCTCCTCTTTTGATTTGCCAAAATATGCCTCTCTTTTGACCAATCAGATATTTTAATCTATTGTTCATCCATTTAGGGTCATTTTTGTTGATCTGATTTCCCCATTTGGAAATAATTTGACTGAGCAGCTAGAACTATGCCCTGGAAAGCATCATATCGGCAACCAAACACCTCCTACCTGACCTTAGTCAGGCATTCCAGTTCAGCCACCTAAGTAATTTTTCAGTCCTATTTAAATCAGCAAGCGAAAGTGGGGGACGGGACTTGATTCCCATTATTGGGGGAATTCCTGATATTTTTAAAATGAGTGTTTTGTGATCACTCTCCCCAAGCTCTCTTTAACCCTCGATTTTTAAATTTATTTTTCCTATGGCAAAAAACCAAGTAAGGGGGTTTTTTCCCCTATTTGGCTCTGTCACAAACTGTTTTAAAAAACAATCGGGATGTGTAAAGAAAGTCACCCGACTCAAATTTTTCCTTAAAATTGTCCGTCAAAATCTGTTATATTTGAAATCTCCCATTAGCACAACCTTTTGTATGTAGTTTGTTTTCGAATTTCGTCCCATAGAATTTTTACTGCACTCCCTTCAAGTTTGGGGGCCCCTGTAATAAAAACCCCCAAAAATTAGTTTCCTGGGCCCTCGAAAAGCTGTAAAAAAAGATTCGTGGCTGCCCTTCTAATTTTATCTTGCTAACCAAAATTTAAGTTGTTTTGCATAATCGCTACTCCACCCCCTTTCCTGTTGCCCTTTTCCGGTGTGGAATAATTTATGCCTTGTATGTGACTTTCAGAGGGTCTCTCTATTTTCAGATTGCCCAGGTCTCTTTATAGCAATTATTATGTTTCTGCATTGAAATTTAATCTTGCTTCATCTATCTTATTTCTAACACCCCTGTATTAGTATAGAAACCCTTAAAGGGAGTAGCCCCCTTGCTGCCCTCTGCTGCCCCCTTTGTTTTCCCTGTTTTTGTCTTTATTTAAACTTCTGTGAAATCCCTTTTAACTTTCGTTTCCAACCAGTGTTGAAACCCTGCTTTTTCCCACACAACCCATACCTCTATCCTAGTTTAAAAACATAGGATTTCACCAATGGGCCCTTTTCAATGAGTTCAAGTGCTACCCCCTGCCCCAGGAATGTACCCCATCCCTTTCATAAATTTGTTTTTTCCCTAAAAGTTTTCCCGTTGTCAATGAAAGGGGTTGCAAGTTTCCTTGCGTATTGTCTAGCCGCAATTTCACCAAATTTCCTAGACAACCTTATTTCCTACCCCCCTTTAGGCAAGATGTAATATGATTGGGTCCTCCCTTAGATTAATGAAATCTAAGCGACCCGTACTTATCTAGCAGTCTTCTTCCCCCCCTTCCCAATTCATTTCCCCCGATGAGACAGTAAGGGCTTGTTCCTTACCCGAATGATATTATCCGCCCGTTGACAATGTCCCCAACACCAGCTCCCGGGGAAACAACTCATCTTATTTCTTTTTCCATTAAAAAAGCACGGGCAATATATCTTACCTGGAGTCACCAACCACAAAAAATGCGTTACCCCTTTATAAGCAGGGGCAGAAAACCTTACCCTTTATGGCCACTGAGTACATTTATCCCGGAGAAAGAGAAGCGATTTCCTACTTTTAAATTTTACTCTTAAACTTTCTTACTCTTTTGGCCCCCCATTACTGTAACAATTCCCCCCCTTGTAGCAGGTGTGGGCTGCACCTACTGCTGGTGCCCTTGACCTCCCCAACTCGCCTCTCACGCGAGAGACAGCTGCACCCCACTGCTAGAAGTTCATTCCCCCCAACTCCCGCCCCACACTCTCTCCCCGAACCCTTGGGTGGGCCTTCAGCCTAAATCTCCCCCTGGAGAAGCAAAAACCTATGGGGCGTGGTCAGCGACCGCCGTTTCTTGCAAAAATTTCGTGTTGCAAAGTGTATTTAAAAAGGTGACGTCCATCTCTTCCCTTTGGAAAAATAAGGAAAATCTGCATCCCCCTTTATTCCCTGGTTTAAAAATAGTGTACATTTTTGTCATGTTTTAAAACAGCAAAAATCAAACATTTGCTTTGCTTTATAAAGGGAAATTTGGAAGGAAGCAAAAAGTACTAGGTCAGCTTTTCCTTAGTTTTTGGGGATTGCAGTGGCTAGGAGCTGTGAGGTCAGATTACTTTTCCCCTCTGGAGTCACACTGAGCAGGATAAAAAAAAAGAACATGATTTTATGCGTTAATATGAAAAAAAGGGCTCACAAAACACGAAAAAAAACTTTCAGAGAAGTGTGATCAGCTTCTTTGGTGACTTGGTGTGAACATTTATTGGGGAAAACAGGTGAAAAACAAGTGTTGTGATCCGACAGAGTGTAGTGCGACTTTTTCAAAGAACATTATTCTTAAAATCAACTCTTTTCATTACCCGGGAATAATTACGGGTCAGATACATTTACCCAGGTAAGTGTTCAAAACTGTGATTTTATTTACTTTTGATGGCGGAGTTGAGTATAATTTATGATTTAGTCACTTAACTTTAAACCTAGTGAAAAGTGGACCTTTGAGGGCAACACAAGTGTCGTCAGCCATCAGTTCTGATATATGTTGACATAACACCCCCTAGGGGTTTAAATTTTTAAATTCCCTAAAATAATATTCTTTATTTCAAACCCCTTAAGGGGAATGAGACAGCTTTCAAGACCTCGTTTTGCCAGGGCGGGGTGTGTGGATTTATAAACTGTTTTTATCAGTAAGTACTCCCTATATTTAAACTTTAAACCCCTTTGCTGGTAAAACCCTTTCTCAACCCA